TTCACCTCGATCTCGGACAGGTGCTTGCAGTCCATGAGCTGCTCCTTAGGGTGTTGGGCTTATGGTGTTTTTTGTTTCGCTCGGTAGAGGGTTTAGGTTCAGGGTTTCGACTCTCGCACTCGCTGAAGAAGGCAAGGATTCTGTTCGGGTTGGGTTGTTTGTTCAGCTCTGATCTGAACGATCTGACCCTCAATGACCGACTTGGTTCAGGGTTCCCTTAGGGGTGCTGAATCTGGTTTCGGTTTGAGCCGGGATGTCCGGAACCAGGTTGCCCCGTGCCCTTTTTCTGCTTAAAGGGGCTTAGGAGGGACCTAACTCCCCCCCCCCCCCCCCCCCCAAAAAAAAAAAGGGGACAACGGGCACTGCTGGGCATCGGAGCGAAAAATCTTGACTACGAGACACCTCACGCGCAAGCCCCTGTAATCTCTGTATCTCTATACCAAGCTTTAAAAACAAAACAGCCAAGGCTCGATACATCTGTCAATATCCAGTTTTCGAGGGCTGGTGGGCCCCAGGTGGGGCCCCAAATTTGTCTTGTCGGCCATGAGGGCACCCTTCAGGGTCTTCCCCACCCCCCTACGGCCTCAGGACCTCCCAAAGAGAGCCCTGCTTTTCTGAGCCAAACAGCCACATGGCAAGCGGTTCTCCATACCCCCCCCTTTTGGGGCCATAGTGAACATAGCGCAAGTCTTCCTGATATTTTCTTGGGAGTGAGTGACATCAAACAACATCAGGTAAAATTCTTTAGCTCTGCTGACTCTGCCGTCAGATGGGATTCCTTAAGCAGCCAAAAAGGGACACTACTTGCAAGACAAGAAAATCTTCACCTAACCCTAAACCCGAGAAGTTCAAGCTTTCAACTCTACAGGCCTGTTGTACCTGTTCCCCCAAAATCCTCTCGCTTGCCTCCGCTCGAGGTCACGGAGCTGGTTCGCCAACTCTTGGCTTGACCTGCGAACCCTAAACCTTGTGAGCAACGTACCTGAGGCTCGCGGCACACCAGCAACTTCCCTTGAGGGAGAGCCAGAAATCACGCAAGCTCACAGAAAATATCAGCATAAGAAGGCACACGCGAAGTAGAAAAGGAAAGTTGGCCCTCAACACTAAACCCTAAACCTAACCCTTCTTGCAAAGGTTAGAGCTTTGCCTTATCCTGCTAACAACGGACTGAGGCAAATGCCGGGCTTGGGCTTACCCAAAGCCTTGAACATGCTCAACCCTGTCTTTGTACGGTTGGGTTGCATGAGGTCCAAAACCCTACACCCTTGATTCCCAAGACGAACACTCCAGACAACATGAACGTCATTCCAAAAAAACCAAAGCCAAGTGGAAGATCTTTTGGGGTCCCTCCTGAAAGGATGCCACCATCTACGCCTGATTCGGTTCTCAACAGCTCGAAATCAGGCCTTGAAGAGACTCTGGAGTTGAGATAAGGACGGAACGGCCACACGCTCCGGTCGAGATCATGGGAAGCTATGGAAAGTCAACGGACAAATGACTACACACACACACACACACATATATATATATATATGTGTATAAATCAAGGAATAATATGTATGTATGTGTGTATCTTCATAAAAAGTTAGTAATACACTAGTGTGTGTATATACATACATGTGTGCACCTACTCTTGGCCCCCGGGCTTGGTCGAAACTTCGCCGGCCGCCTCGCGCAAGGAGCTGCTTTGGTTGACGCCGCGCAGTGTATGGATATTTCGGGCCTACAGGCTTTTAGGGCTTAGGGCTTAGGGCTTACAGGGTTTAGGGTTGAGGGCTTAGGCTTTAGGGTTTAGGGCTTAGGGCTTAGGGTTTAGAGGGCTTCGGGCTTATAGTTTGCATGGCTTCCACTGAGGGTCTGTAGCTTCCGGGGCTTAGGGTTTGTGGGGCTTCTGGGCGTCTAGGGTTTAGAGCGTTTAGGGTTTACAGGGTTGAGGGTTATTGTTACCAGCGGAAAGCCCTAAACTCAACAAGTACAGTGCAACGCACCTTTTGTCTTGAGCCAATGAAGTAGCGTAAATACGGTAATACAGCTGATATCTTGAAGTATCGACACCCCCCGCGCATCTTAGAGCAACGGAGAGGCGACACATCAGCTGTTTGCGACGCTACTTTGATTCAAACAAATGATTTTGGCACCATCGACCAACAACTCGCTGCCAAACGACCCGGCAGGGTGTTGGTGCTTGCCCCACAGAGCTTAGCTCCGCGGCCCTGAAAGAAATGCTGACTAAAGTGGAAAAGGTAGCCAGCCCGTCAGAGCGGCGAAAACCAAGCCGTCAGGCCGGTGCGATGCAAAAGGAAGGAAACTAGTAATCGCGCTTCCAAGCATCGGTGGCGTAGTCCCATCGCCAGTTGTGCCAGCCACGAAGGTAGGACTTCACGTGGTCGGGGCCCATGATCTGGAACGTGTCCACGGTGCCATGAACGGGGATCGCGTAGAGAGCATTATCCACCGACATGCCCGGGATGTCCAGGGCTCTCATGACCGCCCACATATATCCAACCCATGTGGGCCAATTGACGTCCCGGTCTCGGGCGTGATCAATGTCGGTTCCACCGATCACTTGGCCCCACGAGACGACTCGGCCAAGAGTCTCGTAGATGATCTGCATGCCACGATTCATGGCGACCTGCTCTCTCGTCGGAGGAGTGGCAGGCTCGACCACCATTGGTCGTGGAGCAGCCTCAGTGTCTATCGGCGCGGGAGCCGTCGCTTTCGCGGGGCGGGATAAGCCCGTTGGGGCCGCCGCTTCCGCGTGGCGAGACTGTCCAGGGGACACAACCCTTTGCCTTGCGGCAGGGCGTTCCTCGGCGAATGGCCGATCATTTGCCATCGCGTCCCAGTCCGCGTCCGAGATGTAGGAACTCGGGAGCTGAGGAGGTCGCGGCTTGGACTTGACGGCAGTGCTTGGCGGTCTGGCAACGGGTGACGATGACCTTGTCAATGGTGCCGGCGGAGGTGGCCTCTTCGATGTCAACTGCATCACGGGGGGCGCCTTGACCTGCAGTGGAGCCTTCGGAGGAGGAGGCGTCGCGTCAGCCGGGGGCGACTTCCACGGCGACTGCCTGTCCCTTGATCTGCTCTCTGCGAGGCGACCCTCCCGGGTGCCGGGAGTGTTAGACCTTCCTCTGGAGGATTGCGGCTGTTGCACCCATGGTGGCGTGCGATCACTGGGCGCCGACGATGCTCTGTCCCTCCTCAGCCGATCAACCCGATCTTGGATCGTGGACCTGATGTTCCGCGTCCTGAAACGGGTGAACTGGAGGAGCTGTGCCAGCTGACGATCTCCCAGAGAACTGAACCCTTCCGGGACGTGGATATCCTGCGTCATCTGCAGCGGTGGGGCCACTTCGCCCCTTTTGGCTGAGTGAGGGAGGTCACGCCGGATGAGATTGATGAGCTCTCCGAGGATGCCGGCCATAGTCCTACCGTTTGGATACCATCGTTCACCTGGGGTGTTGGTCATCAGGTAGAAGCGGTCGGTTGTCGTCCTGTGCACGGCAAACATGATGACGGCCATCTCGAGCACGGTGTAAAACCGGTCCTGGAAAGAGATGAAACAATCCGTCAGGATGTTGACGTAATCGTCGTCGCTGCACCAAATGTAGGCGAGCCGCCCGTCGACGTTGTGGTAGGCGTCGGTGCCTTCGGCATACTTGCCTCCTGCCATCCCAGGGTTCGGGAGCCGAATGTCGGCGAACCTCGTGATCTGATTGAGGCTCGTGAAGCTGAACCCCTGGGAGATCCAGTTGAAGGCATCCATGGGCGACTCCGCCAGGATCGCGCCGAGGGTGATATCACCTCCTGTGCGCTCCTTGGCACGGCTGAGCGACTTGTTGATCTTCGCCTTTAAGGTCGCTCCTGAGCTGGACTTGCGACGGTCCACTGTCGTGTCATCGACGCGGCGAGGATTCCGATGATCTCGGTTGGAGTTCAGGCCAATGGAAGGCTGAATCTCAAAGATGTTCATCGGCCTACCCCTCCGGGTGGCGTCATCGCGGGCCTCAAAGGGCTGTGCCATTTTCGCCAGGTCCGTGGGCAAGGTCAATCGCTCTTCACATTTGAGACACTTTGTGAGTCCGTCGATCAGGTCGTTGCAACCGCAGAAAGGACAGTTGAAGTTGGGGAACGCAACGCACTGTTGGTGTCTGAAGAACCTTGGGTCTCCTCGAAGCTTTCGATCCACCGTAAGTGCAGTCTGCGTGGGCAGCACAAGTGCCCGCATGCCCCAACAGGCGTTGTGAAGCGCAGGGTAAAGAGGATGCCCTTCCGGGATCCGAACCGGCTGACCACCATAGTCCCAATTTGGTTCGTAGTGGAGCTGGAACGGGGTGTAGGCATCGGCTGCGAGAGGGGCCCACTCAGTGAAGTTTTCCTCTGGTGGAATCTTCAGGTAGTCCAAGAAGCTGGTGGCCGCGCCGTCTGACATGCAGCGATAGGGATCATTGTCAAAGACGGGCAACACATTCCTGTGTGCGGCGAACTCCTTCACAGCCTTGTCGATGCGAAGACGAGCATGCTCGTACGCCCTGTTGATCCAGATCGGCTCATTCGAGGATCTCCTATAGGCGTAGACGAGGTAGCGGTTGGACAGCCAATCTGGGGTTTGCACCGCGCCAGCAGCTGTCTCAAAGATCCGAACCCCGTCCAGCGCCGCCATTTGGAGGTCGACCACGAACTCGATCTCGGCGTCAGGCCTCACGCCCTCCATGCAGTCACGTTCCCATGCTGGCTTCTGTGACATCATGGCGTAAAATCTGCGACGACTCCCGTCTCGCGACATTCCTCCTGGGATGATACCGCTCTCGACGATGCTCCTGAAGTGACGAAGTAGGTGGAGTGATACCCCATCTTTGGCATCGTTTGGAACGTGCTGTGCGTGAAGCCAGCCTCTCCAACAGGAGGGTATTCGCGTAGACTGGGTCTCCACCCGTCGACCAGATGGAAGGATCTGCGATTCACAAGCATGGGGTCAGAGTTCTCGGTCATGAGCGCCCCGCTGTGGCCTTGAATTGCACGGCATCGCAAAATC